GCACGCGCTGGCGCCGTGGCCCGACGCCGCGGCCGGCATCTGCGAGCTGCAGCGCCTCGGCGGCCGCGGCGGCCTCGTCGCCGCCACGCTGTCCAACGGGAACCGGTCGCTCCTGCGCGACCTCGACGCCCACGGCGCGCTGGGTTTCGACCGCCTCCTCTCGTCCGAGGACTTTGGCGCCTACAAGCCGCACCCGAGCACATACCTCGGCGCGGCCGGGGCGCTCGGGCTCCGGCCGGACCAGGTCGCCATGGTCGCTGCTCACCTCAAGGACCTCGTTGGAGCGAGAGCTTGCGGGCTCAGGACCATTTATGTTGAAAGGCTCGGCGAGGAGGAGTGGGACGAGCATGATGACCGTTACAAGGACGCCCGGGAATGGGTGGATATTTGGATCCCGCTCGATAGCGATGGTTTCCTGGAGCTCGCTCGGCGCCTAGGTGATTCGACAGCTCCATAATCCTTGATTTACAACTCATCCTGTACCTCCAGCGAGATAGCGTGAGAGGAGTGAATGGAACCATTTTGAATATTGCCGAGGTATCGATATGCAAAGAAAAAGCAAAAGAGATATGAGACCAGACCGAGATAGACAGAACCGAAAGAAAGCAGCCCCTTTACTTTTCGAGAAGAGACGTGAACTTTTGACCAAGCCTTTTTCCCAGGATCCCGACCCAAAAGATGACTGAGCGAGAACACGGGTTGTTATCACGCCCAGATCCCGCCACACCGCAACCGATCCGTGCGACGCTTTCCACGCCCAATCCCTCGTTGTATATAGCAACACAGCATTTTACTTCTGGTTCTCAGGGCGGAGGGAGCTGTTGATGGTATATAATGTTAGCAAAGGCACGCAATGGCTCCCTATTGGTCGAGGCGGTTTCGTGCGGGGAGTCGGTGGGTACATACCGGACGGCCTTGCCTGCCCTCCAGATCTCCAGGTTGCGGATCTCCTCCATCTCGGCCTCGTACTTGTCGCGGTAGTCCTTCTGGCTGTTGTACTCGAGCGAGCGCTTGGTCTCGGAGCCGTCCTTGACCGAGTCGTACAGCTGGTTGAAGACGGGCTTCAGGGCGTCCTTGAAGCGGGGCGACCAGTCGATGGCGCCACGGCGGGCGGTGGTGGAGCAGGCCTCGTACATCCAGTCCATGCCGTTGGCGCCAATGAGCGGGTACAGCGACTGGGTAGCCTCCTCAACCGTCTCGTTGAAGGCCTCCGAGGGGCTGTGGCCACGCTCGCGCAGAACCTCGTACTGGGCCAGGAACATGCCGTGAATACCGCCCATCAGGCAGCCACGCTCACCGTACAGGTCCGAGTAGACCTCCTTCTCAAAGGTGGTCTTGTACAGGTAGCCGCTGCCGATGGCGACGCCCAGCGCGATGGCCTTCTCCTGGGCCTTGCCGGTGACATCCTGGTACACGGCGAAGGACGAGTTGATGCCACGGCCCTCACGGAACAGAGAGCGGACGGTGCGGCCGGAGCCCTTGGGCGCGCACAGGATGACGTCGACGTCCGATGGCACCTCGACCTTGGTAAGGTCCTTGAACACTGGGGAGAAACCGTGCGAGAAGTAGAGGGTCTTTGTCGGAAGCGAGGACAGGGGATTGTCAGCTCGGCTGGATCCCCAGAAGTGGTCAGAAGCAACAAGATCAGGAATGGGTGCTTACCTTGCCCTTGGTGATCTGGGGCTTGATGTGGGGCCAGGTCTCGCTCTGGGCGGCATCGCTGAGCAGGTTCATGACGATGGAACCGCGCGAGATGGCCTCGTCGACCTCGAAGAGGTTCTTGCCCGGGACCCAGCCGTCCTGGATGGCATCCTTCCACGACTTGCCATCCTTCCGCACGCCGATGACGACGTTCAGGCCGTTGTCGCGAAGGTTCAGGCCCTGGCCGTGTCCCTGGGAGCCGTAGCCGATGAGGGCGAGGGTGTCGTCCTTGAAGTACTCCTGCAGTGATTTGGTCGTGTTAGAGACTCTTCACACATATTCTGCGCATCTTTTCATCCTCGGTTGAGGGAGGGCATGACTCACCAGCAGCTTCTCCTTGGGCCAGTCGGCACGCTCTGCAACAAGAGGACGATAATCAGTAAAAGGCAGCCCCGCCAAAGGGGACAACATGTCACTTTGGGCTGAGCCGGACAGATTGCCACATACCCCAGACCTGCTCGGGAGCGCCCGCAAAGTCAATGGTCTTGACGCCACGAATCTGCTGCCGGGCAGGAGTAGCTTTCCTGGCAACGGCCGAGGCCCTCACCATGTTGGCGGCGGCAACAAAAGTCCGCCTCTGAACGGCCGGCGAGGCCAATTGGCGGGCCATTGGCCGCAGGGCCTTGGAGAGGCTGCGAGCGGACATGATTGGGAGGGTGAAGGGAAGTGAATGGGGGGAATCGAGGGCAATGGGAGCGGGCTGTGGGTTGAAAGGGGGAGAAGGGAGGCCAAGTTGAGCTTGCGAGAGTTGCTCGCCTTATTTGTGATGGGACATCGGAGCTCCAGTGGATGGTGGGGACAGAATTTTCTAAGAGGCTGCGACATCGGAGCGTCCAGTCAGGGGTCGTCACGTCGCGGTGTGGGGTCTTGGGGCTGGAAGCTGGGGGAGATCGGCATGCCCACCAATAAGAAATCGTAGAGCACTAATCGCTAAAATCTAACAGGATCTCGGAATGTATTACGTATATGTACATCGTTGGGAAAAGTATCAATTCGCCCACACATAAGGAAACCGGGCAGGCACCCACGGGTTCCTGGTGTCAACTATCTGCACGCCCTTCTTGGCGGCCCAGGGGAGCACGCGGGAGCGCAGCTCGCCGCGCAGACAGTTCTGGTAGATGACCCTGACACCGTCGACGGCCTTGACGAGGGCCGGCACGACCTCGCCCGCGTTCTCGAACGGCTCCGGGTAGGCGTGGACGACGCGGGCATTGGGGAAGTTCTTGACCCAGGCGGCGAACGGTTCGGCCGACAGGCTGGCGCGGTACGAGGCGCTGGCGAAGCGGAACCCGGACATGCCGACCGTCGTCACCGACGACAGCAGTGCCGGATCGGCGACGAAGCGCTGGATGCGCGCCGCCGAGTCCTGCTCGCTCAGCCCCGGGGCAGTCGGGTCGGAGAAGGGCATGCCGAGGCCTAGGGTGCGCAGGGAGCCGGCCTTGAGGCTGGGCAGCAGCAGCTCCAGGGCCTCGTCCACGTTGTACGAGTTGGCCGGGAAGGCGAAATGTTCGAGCTGGGCGAAGTTGGGACGGGTCAGGGGTTCCGGGCATTGTAACAACTCCTTGAAAATTTCGTAGTCCTGGGTCTCCAGGTGGAGGACGCGAAGCGAATCTGGAAGGGGCGGCAACACTCTTAAATCCGGGCTCACAGGAGCCAGAGATATGTCTTTGCCGATAAACAGGCATTTCAGCTTAGGCAGTGGGTGTCCCGTTTCAACCAAGTCGGGAAGAGTAGACAATACGAGTCTGTCCAAGTAGAGCTGCTCGAGATTCGGAAGGGAATTTCCGATCTCTCGCTGGGTGGGGTACGCAATTGCAAGTCAGATGCGAAATCAAAGATGCGAGAATATCAGGGGCAACTTACGGCAAAGAAAGGTCGGCGATTTGACATGCTGAACCGTAAGAACTTCAAGTTTTCAAGCCGACACGGCCAAAAAACATCACCCGTGGCAGCCCTGGTTATTTCTAGATGTTCTAGGCGAGGGAACAGAGGTTCGAGCACCGCCAAATCCACGCCTTGGTGGCAGCAGTCCAGGATGAGTGTCGTGAGTGATGCGTTAGGCGGGCTACGGGGGAACACAGGGAGAGTGAGAGATGAGATAGCCTTGGGATGGAGGCACTCGAGGTGCTCCAGCCGCGGCAAGCTCGTGAGCATTACCAGTTTCTGGTGGTTCAAGACAAAAGCTTCCCAGTTACGGATCCTGACACGCTTTGTTGTCGGCGCCCTGCGGCCATCTACCAACGAATCGGAATATCGGAAAAGCTTGCCCAGGGTGCTCATCGAGGGCGCCTTCTTTGGGATGAAATCGAGCTCTTGCCACATGATTCTCGCAGCTCCCGACGTGGTAAAGCTAGCCCAGGCTTTTGAGACTTGCAGGCAGTTCCTACGTGGTGGTTGTCAGTCTGTCTTCCACAAGCTCAAAGGATGGCTTTATAAGCCCTTTGGTAAGGCCCAGGAGAGGTGACATACAATCGTGACTTGAGAGAGAGCTCTCGGAAAATCATCAGAGTGACCTCGTTCGGCAGGCGAATCACCGGGTCTGTTCGACTAAAGCTTCCGAGAAGCTTGGAGATCATCTGAGTGAGGCGGGTCAACAAGAGCCCAGAAACTAACAGTGACAGGATATCCGCCTACCGCCAGCCTTTTCGAGTCGTCTGGGTTCTTAGCAGAGACATTCGCCAAGGCGTAGCGATATATGGATCTCATGATCCGGTCGCCGTCCGTGCTGTCCGGATGCGCTGCTGGAAACACCTTTGCGGTTCTCAGATATCCCTATCACAGCACATTAGAATCTTCCAGAGATTGGGTTCTAGGCGAGCGAGGCAAAGCCCCTGTCCCGATGGGACACCGAATCCGGTGCGCGGCGAAAAGAAACTCGCCAGACGTACCTGGGGCTTGCTGGAAGCCATACGCACGAGGAGCAGCCCGGTGCGATAGGCCCTCGAATAGTCCCTGGAGGCCTCGAAGGCGGCGGCTGCTCCGTCCAGGGCCGAGACGTGCAGGTCCCTACTGCACGGCTGCAAGTCGGCGCCGCACGTGCAAGGCCGGGCGGCAATACGGGCGGCAGAGGCGAAGCCGCGGAGGCCCCCGGTGATGCGCTCCTCAACGTCAAGGCACGTACATGGCCGACGATCCACCGAAGGCTCCAGGGCGTCCGGGGCTGATCCGGCCTTGGTGCATTCTATCATGTACGCCCGGCGCCTGTCTCGGGCTTTTTTGTTGCAGGGACAGCTCAGGCAAGCCTTTTGGGGGGTTTTTTTGTACCACGAGTTGGTCCGCTTGTCAGCGTGCAGTTACGGACCGGCGTGGGCCATACATCGTGGGGAGCACTCACCTTCTCAAAGTAGTTGAGGGCCTTGACAGCATTTCCGTCAGCATAGTATTGCCTTGCCCGCTCGATGTACTGCTCTGTGGTGGGCACGGCGCTCATCCTGCCAATGGATATTGATCGTAGGCTTCTATGAATGGGGTTTTGGCATGCGAATACGTATGGGTGAGGCTGTGATGGGCGGCGCGCTTTCCGGAAACGCGTTTCTGGAAAGGTGCCCATCCCCAGAAGGATGACCCACTGTACCCGCAGGTTTGGATCGGTGGGGCTCGAAGCTGACAAAGCACCTGAGATTCGTGAGGCAAGAAGAAGGCCAAAAATGCTTCAATAGGAAGGCCTCACAGCACTAGGTACCTAACCAATTGGGGTCCCTAGGCCTAAGACTACTACCCCTTGTGTGGGTGAGGTGAGTGAGTACGCATCACAGGTGTATTCGGCTTCGCTTTGTTTCCTGTATGCCGCACGAGCCTCAGCCTCAGGAAGCCGGGCGACGACCCAACTCTGGATATCACGAGCAGATAAGAAGGCGCCACAATTGAAGACGGGCGGCGCCGCCCTGCCATTAGTTTCAAAACGGACAAGCCACTAAAAACGCATAGCCGAGATATATTTAGATTCCCAAAGCAAGCACGCCAAGGGCGGTGCCTTTGGGGGGGAGAATGACCACCGCCGCCGCCACGAGCCCCTCGCCGAAGCAGTGAAACGCGGGATGCCCCCGACGAATCCCAAAGGCGAGCGGAAGCGGCAGTTGAACGCGCACACCCACCCCCCGGGATGCTGAAACAATATTCGCTTGGGGGGCCGAGGCGGGCCTTGCCATGGCTGGCAAACGGGGGGGCCAAAAGGAAAAGGGACGCGCAAATCACACAACCCACACCCACCCGCCCGGCAGGAACCCGAACCCACGGGATTCCCCCTCCAGGCCTGCGGGCTTGGATACGGCAGCCTGCCTGATCTTCTTTGCTCCTGCGGGTACACATGCCGTGCCGTGCACGCTCCTCCCACTGCTTTTCCTCGAGGCTGTCTTTGCTCGTCGAGCACTCACCCCACGTCGGATCGATCCTGCCTCGCCCCGACACACCAACAAGTGTGAGCGGCACATTGCGCAGTCGCACAGCCGTAACGGTCACGTATGGGTTTAGTATGTTTAAGCACAGCCACCAGCGCCGCAAAGGGAAGCATCGTGGCTTCTAGCAAGCAAGACTAAAAAAAACAAAAAAAAAAACATAAAAAAAAACAGGGGCGCCATCTACGGAAGAGAAGTCGATTCCCGGCTCCCGGCTAGCAAGGATTCTCGTCCTTTACAGCAGTGATGCCTTTCCGCATGAGCGGGGAGTGCTCGTGTGTCGCAACCCGGATCCTGCCATGACAACCGGTCGAGGGATCTGGACTGGGCTGTGTGGGCTGGGCTAGCAAATCGAGTGCGGCCCAGCTCAAGCCTTACGCCACCAGGGTTGAGCCACCCCCACAACCCGGGAGTCGAGTAAACCAGAATTCGAAAACGATGCCAGGGTGGGACGAACGGGCAGATAAGCCCCCCCCCCCCCCCCCCCCCACGGGGTGAACAAAAGATTGAGCGGTGAAAAGGAGCAGTCAAGTCCACCTTGCGGTGGGGGAGCGGGAGAGGCGCATTCTTTATCGGCGTTGAACGGTGGCGCCAATCAACAGCCATGTCGAGGCTGTTTCTTTTTTTGTCCTCCCGAGTCCGCCGAAGCTAGTAGAGAGGCTGATGCAGCAGCCCCGGCTCGTCGACCAGGTGCTCGCCAGGCCTAATCGTCCGGACACCGTTGAGTGGAAGGGAGCCCGAACTGTCGAGGCTAACAGCCCGGCGAAGTCCGCGGGAAAGAATCCGAATACCGAACTTGGCGGGGAGCGTTCAAGGTGGGGGAAAGGCGAGGGGGCCAACAAACCAACAGGGAAAGAAGTTCTAGAACCAGCAAAAGATAAGACGAAAGAAAAGGGGGAGGCGGTCTTCGTGTGGAGAATGGTCCGAGAAGCAAAAGGGAAAAGAAATCATATCCACTCGAAAAGAGGGAAACAAACAAGTCCACCCCGCCACGCACCGTTCGGCTTCGGCCCAAGGTTCCGGACCTGGTTTTCGTTTTCTCCCTTGTCCGTTGTTTCCTCGCTTAATCCAAGCAACGCCAGGGGTACCCACCCTTGGCGATCATGCCCCTGAAAAAAACAGAGGATGTGCGCGGACCGACAAGCGAAGGGGTCTGAAGCGCGCGTAAAAGAAGCAGACGCGCGTAAATGCTGTGCGACTAGGACATAACGGGGGTTGCATGCAACCTGTCAACAAAAGAAGTTGTAGCGCAATGGTGCGGATGAGTGTACAGTGCATGTACCATGCCGACGCAGTCAGCAAAATCATCCATCCATCCATCCATCCATCCATCCATCTGTCAAAAAAAAAAACCCATATGCAACCCAATGTAAGGTCGATCCCGGGGGTGTGGGACCCCGGCTTTGGTTGGTCAGTTGATGGTCTTTTCCATTAACTGGGGTCGCGCAATCGCCGAAAAGAAATCGCATTTGTGCCAAAAATACCTCCCGGGCGGGATGTGGGTATTATCCGCCCGCCAGGGAAAAGCTGACGAAAGAGGAAATCGAAAACATTTCGAGAAACAAGATCCTGTCAATTGAGAAAAATGCTCCATGTCGCCACAACCTCAACAGCCACACACACACACATACATACACACATCAGACGGGCAGGGAAAATCGCAACCCCCTCGCGAACAAAACCTCATCCTTCCCCTTCTTTCGGCGCAGCCGGATGCCCCCAAACCCTGCTTACTGGGTAACCACTCGGGCCAGGGGGAAAGGAAAACAACGACTTTTCTTTTCTGGCTCCTGAATGCCCCGAACACGGGGCGGTTTGCGCCACGTGCGGGCTCTCAATGGGGATCCCCTGACCAACGGTGTGTGGCTGTGAATTCTGCCTTGCGGTGGAGGCTGCTGGGCTAAACATCGGATTGTGATTGGCCCCACCGCGCCCTTTTCAAGGGTCGTGGCAGGAGCCGTACTACCGACCGAAATCGGCTTCACTTTCTTTTTGCTGTTTTGGGCCAAGTTCAAAATATCAGGAGCCGGTTTTTGGACAGGAAGAATGAGTAGAGTCTCGTTGGATTTTGGTCTGGCCTCTTGCCTTCTTGGCATGACGGCCCGCTATCTGCTATATGGGTAATTTTTTTGTATGCGGTGGGGACCCCGTGCCCGTTGTTTTCTCGTTGCGCACCAGCACACTCCCTGGAAACAAGCGACGGCAGCTGCTCTCCGTATCCAGACGAAAAATAAAGCAAAAGATGGCCGTAAGCTCTCCAGCCAGTAGCGGTGGTGGGCTAACGCAAGGGTGGGAAACAAAACAGGCGAACGATAGGAAAAGTGATTCTGAGCTCAAGAACGTCCCGCGGAGACCAGCTCCTCCCAGCATTCTCGTAATGGTAGATAGCTCAGGCCCGAGTTGCTTCAGCCTGGCCCGCGGCCCGCCGTTCGGCCCACTTCCAGAGCGGGTATTAGTCTCTAATCCAGACGCAAGGAAACAAGAAAAGTGACCATGGCGGTGTGCGAACCTGGGCGCCATCCAAGAACATGGTCCAAAGAAAAACAAGAATGCAATACAAGGACCAAGCTTGCTAATGAAAATGCAGAAGGCGTACATAAGAGACCGGAAACAAACAGGACAGAGCCTCTCATGGAGATGTGCTCACATATTGAAACAGACCCAAAAAGACACAAAGATCCCCAAGTGAAAGTCAAACCCATCCCGAATGTCAAGGACGTCTTGCCCATTCCCGAACGCCTGGTATAACCCGTCCCAGATAAGCGATGTATCAAAAGAGCAGAGATGAACAAACATGGACCATGTCCCCAAAAGTGGAAAAACAAAAGGACAAACTGCTCCCCGACAAGCGGGTATAAGAAGTGAAGATTGACCGTTCGTCGTGATGAATCGTGGCGTCGTTGCCAAATTCCGGAGAGCGTCAGTTGTCGTGGTAGCGAGATAAGGAAAACGATGACCGTGGCTTGGATTAGGCAATGGTACACTGCCAGGTCGAATGCCAAAAGGGGAATCGATAAAAAAAGATGGCCGCCGGACGCTATGCTCAGGAACTGAGAGATGGAAACCCTCGAAAATGCTGCTGGAAAGAAATCGCGGGAAGCGGAAAGGAAACTCGTCGGCCCGGACGAGCGATTGTGGGCCGTAGAGGAGCAATGAGAGGCGGTGGCGGGTGCCAAGGATCGGGCCGGGCGGCCAAGGCGGCTGGTCGGTCACGAGGAGCGCCGTGGTCGGCGGTCAGATATTTGGTGCTGCAGATGTGCGTCGTACGAAAACCTCGATGTTTGTTGACTCGGTAGGGCCCGTGAGCTAAATCCCCCTCTTTATTCTTCGTCATTTTGTCTCCGATAACGGGCATGCGCTCTTGTTCTTGGCATGCTTCAGGCATCCGCCGGCGCTCGAGTTGGTTGCGGCCAGGGGCGGGGAGCGAGTGCGCAGGCTCTCGGTCAATGGCGCTCGTCATGGCGGAGCGGAGCTCTGCGTGAGGCGGTCGTGGCCCACGAAGAGGAATGCGAGCTGTGACGGGAGCTGGGCTCGCGATCTGGACCTTCCCCGGAAGGAGTACAGGTAAGTAGCCCAGCACCTGAAGCCGAATCGTTCCAGTGGCGGCGAGTGCCACGGACAGCAGCCCATCACCGGAGACGAGACCTTTCACCGGTAGTGGCCAGACGAGCCCCTGGACGAGGACTGGCCGCTGTAGTAGCCAGAGTCCGAGTACCTATCGTGGCCGCTGTACTCGGACGAGTAGGTCCCCCTAGTTGACGAGTGGGCACTGCAGGCGTAGCCAACGTAGATGGTTCGTTGCTGGACATGATGGCCCGGTCGACCATAGCTTGCGCAGCTGTCGATGGCGTGTTGGTAGTAGAGGCACTTGCAGGCCGAGTACAGCTCAACGAGTTGGTAGCACATTTTGACTGAAGCTGTGGGACTGAAGCTGTGGGTGGGAGTGGGTGGGTATGATGATGTGCGCTTATAGGTGGATATTGGAAAGGCCTTGGGATCGAGATCGAGACTGTAGCGAGAGTGGATGAAGTGAAGGGGCAAGCCAGGAACAAAGGTTGGTTGGCCTGACGAGGTCCTTATAAGGCTGATAGGCAGCAGGCGCAAAGACCCGATGGGGGCAGTAAGGATGCTTTGTTGGTGAGTCGAGGGCCGGGGCAAGAAGCCACGTGAGGCGGAAACGGCCGAGGGGGTTTGGGGGTTGCCAAGGGAAAAGGCAGACAAGAAGAAGATGGACAGGAAGCGAGTGCTCCGGCGCAGGAGAATACGATGTAGGAAAGAATTAAGGAAGCAGGTGAGTCAAGGAAAACAGGTAGTACAGGGGGGGTAACAACCGGAAAGGGAGTGAAGGGATGGGGACGAGTATGGTAGTGTGAGGAACTAGCCGACGGGCCCATCGCAGCCTTATAGCTTTGCAGCCTGCTACGGCCCTCGTCATAAGGCCAGCGCGGGTCCGCCAAACTGACCGACATCTAAGGCAGCAGCCGTCCGGAGCAAGGACACCAGATCTCACTTTGGCATAGAATGGGATGACAGAATTGACCTAATGCAGGCCTTGCTGCATGCAGGTGCCAGGTTGGTGGCCGCAGGGGGTCATGGCTTGCACAGGATACATCAGAACGCGGAATGGCGCAGTCGTGGTGTAGAGAGGTAGAAGAGGCTCGGTATGGAGCAGTGTGGATGCGAAGCAGGGGAAAAACCACCGAAGGCAGTGAGGAGAGGGAGGGTGGGTACAGCGGACTGAAGGGGATGGATGGCGGGGGGCGTGTGCATGCCCCTACAGGGAGGGGTCCCAGAGTGGGTTCCACAGAAGCAAACAAGACGCCGACAGGGATCATTGATGCTTTCTGGGTGCCATTGTGCCATTGAGTCCTGCTGCGCTTGTCGCCTATCTGGCTGGCGGCTGCGTCTACTGCTCCGCGGCCACAAGGCCAACGCTAGGATTTCGAGTTGGACAACAGGGAGTCACAGTGCGTGCGGCGCCGAGGGATCAGCGTGAGCAGACCGGCCCTAGCGCAGCACAGGTCGGTCTCGGGGGGCGTTCTGCTTCCATTGGCCGTTTCCAATTGCCAGTTCGATCGCGTCTGTCTCGTTTGCTGCGGCCCTGGATTGTGGAACAAGAGGCGACTGGGTGTGGAGCCGACAGAATCGTTCATGTTGACAGGTGTTGACAGGCTGCGTGTTCTGTTCAGGAGTTCAGGAGAAGGAGAGCCCGAAGGGAGACCAGACGAATACCAGGAAAAAGCCTCGAGGCTTGGGAGTCCAGGCACCGCAGCGTCGGCGTTGTCCAACTTGACGGGTGCGACAATGGGGGAGCTACGGGGGTATCGCCATGGATGGTCCGCCTGCTGGGTCCGCTGTGGGCTCTCTGGCGTGCCTGTCTCGGGCGGCTATACAGATGCATGAGGCCTGAAGGGCACCAGCGTCGGCCCCACAACACCCGGATGGCATCAAATGGCCGGGAGAAGCACGAGCTCAGCGCTGGTGCTGTATCTCGTAGGGCCTCCTCTGGGGCCAAAAGTCCCGCCCGATCAGGACCGGGCATGGTACCAGAAGCCTAAATTAATCAATAATTCATCGATCCGGTAGACCCTTTCCCCGGTCAACAACGCCTCTCCGCCGCGAGATGATACCGGTTTGCGTTGTACGCCGTTGCGTACACGGCAGTCTGGCGCCGCCATGCCCCAGGTAGGCAAGGCAGGGACCGGCTACATGCCAGCACGGGACACAGCTCCGGGAGGGCCATGCAGGCAAGTTGAGCAGCTGCCTCACGTTGACTCACTTGCGCCGCCGTCCTCAGGCCTGCATGGCACATGCGCCCGGGAGACATCTGGGACCGCTCGAGCATCTTGCACAGTCGGAGCTCGCCATGAGGAAAAGAAGCTTCGCTCCATGTCAGCCGCAGATTTTAGGGGGGACGATGGCAGTGGGCAGTGGACAGTGGGCGTGGTGTGTATCGGATAGCAAACGGCCGGGCCGGGTAATGGATGTCGCGGTGGTGAGCATGCACCACCAGATACTCCTATGGGTGAGAACAGCTCACTGATGGTGGGTTTCTCTAGTGGTCGAGCTCCCCATCGCGAACGCTGGTAGGCGGGTCCCAGCGTTAGGCGGGTGCTGAATTTAGCGATGCCCGCCAGCCACACCTGCCAGAATCGGCATTTGTGGGTGAGAGGCCTCTTGTTTGCTGACCGCAACGGGTTTGCTAGGCAAGGGCCCCTGTCCGGCAAAGGGCCCCGGGATCCGACCAATGAGGTGGCAGCAGAACGGTTTTCGGCCAGCCAGGATGGTTGCATCATTGGTCGTGGTCCGCTTGTCAATTCGCAGCTCCATGTTTCGACGCCTACCAAGAGCCCGGGCAGCGTGCCAAGTTTGAACCAAGCTGCTGGAGTTAGCCTGTATCTAAAAATTGCCATTGCGAACACACCTAGGCCAGAGACCGGCTTTTCTTGGAATGGCTTGACAAGGCGACGCAGATGAGTGCCGAGGCCGAGGGAAGAGCGGAAAACAAATCAGGTCGAAAAAAATGTACGAAGGAGGGCAACAAACGATCTAATCTGCTGCTGATCACTCTTGTGGTTGGTTTGCAGACGATGCATGTACCTGCGACTTTTAGGCAGTCGTAAAACGGGGACTCTTGTGTCGGCAGAGAGCCAGGAGGCAGGGCGTGCAGGGACGATCGGTTTGCGCCTCAGCCGGGAGAGATCACCGTGGGCGTTTGTTCCCTCGCAGCTGCAGAGGCGTCTGGCACCCGGTAGTTGATTTTGGCTGCCCCCTCCCTTTGCGTGTTGGCAGACCGGGAGATCTCTGCTCTCATCGAGACATGCATTGCATGACTGTCTCAGGCCGGGTCGAGTCGAGTCTGACTGGGCGGTGGTGGGTGGGTGGTGGTGGGCTGGGCTGGCTCGCATCGTCAGTGGCCGCCCTACCGTCCCAGCGGCATGGGAACCCCTCCATGTTCTTTGTCAGGTGGAGCCGGCCACACCCCAGGGAGTAAGCAGAAAGGCATGGGAGACGGCATCGCCACACCGTGACCGTTACGGCCTGCAGGTTCCGCGATGGGCTTGTCGATGGGTGGGAGGACAACTCTTGTTGTGGAGGGGTGGGAGCAGCAAGATGATCAGATCCATCGGGCTGCAATCACCGGCGAGCGCTCCCCCCGCCACCACCACACACCACCTCATCGCGAATAGGTTGGCAGCTCCTTTCGAAAATGGGCACAGGTACACAGTGCGGCGCATCGGGTCGAGTCCTGACGGCGAGCACTGGAAGCAAAGCAAAAGCGCAGCACAGCGCAGCAATGGAAGTGAAGCACAGAAACGCGCTAACCGACAGCGCCGCGCTGCTCAACCGCCGACACAAGCCACGCACCTCCGAGCCGACACGGGATTGGGGGCCGGCTGGAGGCAGAAGGGGGAGGCTGTGGTGGCCATCTCGGGATTGCGGTCTCTGCGCGGCGTGGGAACAGCAAGACGGAGCTAATGAGTAATGCGCTGGTTGTAGGTGATGCGCTCATGTTTGCCTGGCCGCGGAAGCCACATCGATTTGGAATTGGGAAATGCATGGCACTGAGGTGCTCGTGCTTGCCATTAAGCGAGCACGGTGGACGTTTGACGGTTTGCGGGTGGCTTGAGCCTCCCTGGGGGCCGCTGTATTACGGCTGCCCTGCCAGAGCTGCTGTCCCACAGGGAGGAACCGGGCGCCTTAGCCGGCCGCGGCCACCCTCAATCTACAAGCGAATCGAGTGAGAGAGAAAATAAAAGAAACGAAAAAAGAAGAAGCAGGAGAGTACAGTACACGGGATGCCATGTCTAATTCCGGTGCGGCACGGGGCGTGTGCAGAAGCCGTGCAACCACCGTCTAGCCCCTAGTACCTGCCCCAATGTCATGCTGCTGTGAGCTTACCTTAGATCTGCTCCTGTCGCTGAACATTAGCTAACCTGGTCTGACGGCACTTTTAGGCTTGGAATTTTGAACCGACAGGCTAGCGCAGGGAGAAATGCACAAAAGTGGCCGCCCTGTATGTGACAGCAACGAAGAAAGAAGATGAAAACTGCCTTGCTGAGATTACATTGTGCAATGCTTGATTCCCGAAACATGCAAGATAGAGCCCGCTGAGGCATACTTGGACCGCAGATCAGGGCAGTGGTTCGGCGATGACTGCCGCTTCAGCTTCAATCTTTCGAGAGCGATGAGGTGGGAGCCCCGAACCAACACACTACGGCGGCCGCAGTCCGATGACCTCATATCTAGTATACCCACTGAGTAGGGGCCGCCGGGCCCTACGGGTTCCTGTCGGAATGCGCCGTCTGATCTCAGCGTGCGTTTGCAGAGTCTGTGCTCGGGTGAGAGTCAACCAAGGTAACTAGTTGGCCGCACAATCTCGAGCTGCAGTGTGGATGCGGCCAATTTACCATATCGGGCTTCGATTTTGTTGCTTTTGGATACTTTACGCCCAACAAACTTGCCTGCTTCTAGACGAGCGATCCAATCCCAAATTGCAGCGCTGTGAGACGGGCTCACTGCCCCGGCCGTCCTGCGCTGAGGATCTGGTGCCTTCCCGGGTTACACCATCTGCTCTCTCTCTCTCTCTCTCTCTCTCTCTCGCATCGAGGTAGATCTCGTGTCGTATGTAATCAAGGACACGCCCACACCCCCAAGGCCTTCCGGAAAGGTCTGGCAACAGCAAGACTGAAGATCTGCAACTGTGCGGGCGTGTGTGGGTGTGTAGCAGGCGTGGGTGGGTGGTGCGTGCTGACCGCCGCTCAAACCTGCATCTGTATGCTTGCTGCTACCACGCTACGTACTGCCTCCACACGGATTTGAGTTGCGCGCGCGCCCAAGATCAGATCCATGCACATGCAGCCGCCCGTATCGGGACCAGTCTGCGCATGCGGTCGTTGTTGCCGTTGTGCTTGCATCCCTCCCCCAAGAGATGCAAGATGGGGCTTGCTCTCTTCCGCCGTCTATTTTCATGCAAGGTAAATCAGAAGCAACCGAAGCCCGGGTGCCTCTGGAGGACCCCTTCCCCCAAACTTGGGGAGATAGTCATCCGTCATTCATTAGTTAAGCGCCGGCAAGCGAAGCGAGAAGGGGGAGCGTCACACAGGGTTGCAGCGGCCACACCCCTTCCACGTGAGATTTTTATTTTTGTTTCGTTTCCCTCGCCCTGCTCTTTCTTAGTCATCGGCACTCCGTGTGCGCTCGGCGCAGCGTTGCCGGTGATTCAAATCCGTAGGTGGCCTGGAATGACAAAGCGTCCGTGGGGGTGGTGGTGGTGGCTCGGAGCGGGCGTCGAAGGGGTCGGGGTGCTGAGATGTTTACTGTGTTCGCTGGTGTGTGATGACGCCCCTGCGGGCAGTCTCGGACATTGAATATCTCCATCTCTCACACACTCTCTCTCACAGTCGAGATTGCCGGGCCGTTGTGCTGCTCAGAAATCGGGTATGGGCTGCCGTCGCTGCAGGTCTCCGACGTACATGCGTCCCCCCCCCTTCCCTTCCCAGGGCTGCAGCTGGGAGGGTTGCAAAAGTTCCCAGCCGGCCAAGCGGGCGTCTCGCGTGCATCTCGACCTGCGTCGGGCTATACCACATCGGGCTTGCAGACCGCAACGTGACACGACGCCCGCAGAGGGACTGGACTGCACATTACCACACCTACCACACACCTACCCTACCTGCCGCCAGTGGTGCAATGACGGGGTCCCGGAATCGCCGTTGCGGGGGCCGGCCGGCATACCACGGGCTAGGCAGAAGCGGTTGAGCGCGGCGCGCGATGCCACAAAAGTGCCCACCCAGTGATCCGATTTCTCAAGCTGGCTCCACCCTGCGCACCTGGGCTGCTCTTTGCCCGTGAGATGTAGCATCAAATGATGAGCACCCGGCTTACGAAGAGCGGTGGGCTTTTCTGGCCGCCCGCCCTTGTGTCTGGGGCTGGCTGGCCGCCGCCGACGAGGAGGAGTCGTTCGCTTTACTGCCACTCGACGACTTGTCCTCCTCTCTCCTCTCGCAAGAGTGGATGCTGCCAGCGAAAAACATGCCCGCCTTCGGCTAGGTCGGGTCGCCTAGTGGGGTCCGTCCAGGGAACTCAGCCACAGGAGAGAGAGCCAGCAGCCCATGCCCAACCCAAACCCCGGTCCGCTGTGCTGCAAAAAAANAAAAAAAAAACTTAGGAGCCCGAAGGAGGAAACGGCCCCGACGCCGGCGACGCGCAGGCAGGCAGCCACCCATCGAGAGACTGGCTACACCTAGGTGCCTTACATACCTTAGCTCCGAGGAGCTGTGCGCAGGAGCTCTCATGCGGCCGTCGTATGGAGAGCTTTTTGGTCGGATACGGATGCCGAGGCTTCGTCGCCTTGCAGGGGGAACCAACACGCTCGGCCATTATTGCGCCGAGCAGCTCCTTGGGCGGGCAGGGTGGCAGAGGTGGTCACATGGCGGCGTCGTGTCGCAGGCAGCAGGCAGCAGGCAATTGGGAGTTGTGATTGATTTGTTGCCAAGCAAAAGATCAAT